GGAAGAGAGGGGGGGGGCGGGATATAGAAGTGTGGGGGGGGGGGGGGGTGTTGGGTGGGGGGGGTGTTAAAGTCTTAAAGTTAGCCAAAATAATAAATGTTTAAATCCAATGATGATTATTATTATTAGTAGTATCATTATTGTCATTACTATTATTATTATTTGTTCACCCATTAGTCAGATGAGAAAAAAATAATTTATAAATCACTGGGGTATTTTCAGGAGTACATAAAAAATTGTTCAATAACTATGGTAAACAATTATTTTAAAGGCTCTGAATTAGTTACAAATAAAGGGTATGAATTGGTTAAAAACAGTTAATTTACTTAAGCTGCAGAAGCGTGTATTAAAAACGTTAAAGCTATTTAAAAATTAAGATTTTTACTTTAATCAGTATTCAAATTTTTGTAGCATCAATTTAAGTATGAAATAAATCATATTAACAGAGGTACCCACTGATGTTTGTTCAAGATTCCTAACAATATTGATTATCATTTGAGGACTAAAAATCATTGTCATTATTAAGAAAATTAAATAAACAGTTAAGTAAGCAGACTGAGTTTTGCGGGTTGAGTTTTGCGGGTTGAGTTTTGAAGGTTATCTGTGTTGAAGATATATCCTATGACGAATAGATGTTTGCATATTAAATATCTCGAATTTCCCGTCCCAATACAGTGTTCAATCCATTTTTTGGTGTTAAACGTGTATAGGTTACTAACTTCATTTAGCATATTCAGTGAACTTCACAAAAATACTTGCATAGAAAGTTGTATATAAATATAATTGATAGGCCTCCACCAAACACAATATATATAGTTCAGATAAAGACTATACCTCTAAACTCCACATCCTTGTTTTCATTTGTGTCACGAAATTCATACCAGTTAAGTATAACTGAGAGGAGGAAGATGGTCCCTGAACACCACTTCTTCAGGTGCAGGGCAACAACATTGCTATGGCCTTACTGTTATGGGCCCTCCAATATGAATATAAAAGACTTTCTTGAGGTAAATTGCCAAAATAGAGGGAAGTATCAACAATCATCAACTAAATTTCTTTTTGTTTGAATAGGATCACACTAGCACGCTTTTGTGGGTTATTTACACTGGAATTAGTAATAAGCCTATCAGAGTGAGCAAACCCTGTTATAAAAATAAAATGCTAAAACACTTATTGACAGGGTTCTTGATTCATTATTTGTGATAAAATGCTGTCCAATTACGGTTCAGTCAGTCTCATATGTTCATAAACAGGAAAGAAATCACTGGTTTGGTATAAAACTAGACAGAAAACCCAAACGGGATTAAAACTAATCCACACTTCTTCTAGAGTTCACCATAACTGATTGAAGCAGTCATGCATTCTAATCTCTCAAGAAAAACTGCAACTAAGAAACCAAGGTTTTCTAAGGAAATCAAATCCAAAAATAAGAATTCCCCACAATCTTATGACAATATCTGCATCTACAAAGTGTCCTATATCTCTCACAGCAAATCCTAAATAAGATCATTTGACCATTAAGGGAAGAACATGTTTATTACAAACCAACCAGCATTAGAATTACTTTTAGTTTGGGAGGGAATTTTAGATGTGAAACCCTAATCAAATGAAATTAATAGAAAGGGAAAGGCAAGAGTAAAGAAAAGTATTGAATAGAAAATAGTAGTGAAAGTACATATATGAGCTGGAAACCCTAAAATGAAATTGACATCAGATGAGCTTGAAAGGAAGAGGCCAAGGAGTAGACCTGGGAACTTCCACCTTGTCCTTTATGCGCTCTATCATCTTCTCTCTCTTCGGCCGAGCGTTACCGTAGGATCCCTTAAATCTCTTCCCTTTCTTCGTCTTCTTGTCCCCGCGCCCACACAATTGAGGCGCCACCGCCGACGTCGCTGCCGCACTCTCCGCCTTCATGAACCACCGCGCAGCCACGCTGCACCGCTGCATCATGCTCACACCATTCGCAGCCATGGTAACTCATCTGCACCCGTTGCTGCTTTTCCAATCCAATCTAATAACAAAACATCTTGCCACATGATATGGGCCGGGCTACGTTACTTGCATTTCTTTTTGATCCCGTAGTTTGTTTTTGCACCCCATAGAAATTAAAATTCTCAATTTATTCTTGGAAAAAATATTTTTGTATGGCGAAATCGGAAATTTAATTTTTGATGTAAAATAATATTTTGTTTGCAGATTGTGTAATTTTTGAAAACTTTTTTAACTGTTGAGTTACATAATTTATAAAAAAATTATATCAAATTTTTTTTTGCATGATAAAAAAATTATTTTAAAATTATTTTTTTTTTGTTATACTTACATTGTGAAATTAAGATGCTTTTTAAACTTCTAAATTCACAGAATTAATCAATTCATAACATAATATAAACAATAAAAGGAGCAATTTGATCTTTTAACTACTCCCACAAAATGTACATGAAACTACGAGTGCAGAAAATAATAGCCCCTCAAGATCTTACAGAATTGAGATAGTATAATTATTATGTTTTAATTTAAGTAAAGTTTAAACATTTAATAAAAAAATATTTCAGAACATAAAAGAAAAATTTACCTAAATCATTATAAATATAACTAAGTAGTTATTATTAATTACTAAAATCAATACCAGGTTATAATTACATGAGAGTGTAAAAATAATTTAAATTGTATTGAATTAAACCATTTAATATAAATAATAGATCAAATTAAAAACATAAATTGAAAATTAATTAGAAATGCAAGTCTCCATGATGGATTGAGTTTAGGCTAATTTTCAATTTTACTAAAACAAAATTTATTGGAATTATAGGATTAGACTCAAACAAAACATAATTTTTATTGCTTTTATTGTAATATTCTCTTATTTTCTTTAACTTTTGATTACCAAAGGCAACGATGTTCGGTTTATTGTTCTATTCGATTCATACAGGGCCAGCTTAGCAAATTACAATCTATGCTTTCATTTCATATCACTCAATCCCTCAGAGAATACTTCTTCCCCATGAAAGGCTGAAATTTTGGTTGCTTTTGCTCGGTTGATTCTCGTTTTGGCTCCATCTCTTCCTGCAATAAACAGGACAATTATGTAGATAACTGTGAATTTGAATTCTTTGTTGAGTTTTTCTGTATTGTTTTTTTTCAAAGATTTTTAAAATATCGATATCAGTTTATTGTGAATGTTCAGCAGATAACAGCACCAATAAAACAATGTAGAGAATCTGGAGTTGATAATTATTACTATTCAAAAGGGTAAACTGAAGAAGGCATTGATGAGAAGCAGCTGAATTACCTTTCCTGTTTCTTTTGTACGGTAAAAGTTTGATCCAAATACTAGCTTTCCCCCAGATGGAGATGTTGTGGAA